CCGGGCAGGGGTGAGCCTGCCTTAGCCCCAGTGCACCACCACCCAGGAGCCACCTGAGGTCAGCACTGTCCAGCTGGATCCAGCTCTGAACCTCTGCCCCAGTCATGAACCCCCTCCTGCACCTCTGTCCTAGCCCTGAGCCCCCTGGACCCAAACTCCCTTACAGAGCCTGTACCCTGAACCCCTCCTGCACCCCAACGACTGCCCCAGGCTCAGCTCAGAGCCCCTCTCACACTCCAAATCCCTCAGCCCAAGACCAGAGCCTGCGCCCCAGCCCTCTGCCCCTGCCTGGTGAAAGGGAAGGAGGCCGGAGTGAGCAGGGGAGGGCCTCGGAGAAGGGGCATGAAGTAGTATTTGGGTTTGAGGTACAGGCCATCCTCGCTGTAAGTCCAAGAGATGTTCCAAAAGACTTGGACTTCTTGTGAAACAACTTGAAGTGGGGAAACTTAATGGCTAGGGGATCAAGTCAATGACCCCATGCATGGTTTTTTCTCGTAAGCCCAAACTGCGGCCCGATGCGGACCCCGGCTAGTAGATTTTGTGCCCTCCAGCACTGTACAGGAGTGCTTAAGCTGAGGGTGTCCTTGAGCCTCAGGGGCCAGATCCAGGCAAGGCAGGGGCCACATCCAGCCCCCAGGCCTGAGGTTCCTCACCCCGATCTAGGTTGTAGTTTCCTAGTTCGTTTATGAGGCCATACGAGACTGTGTCAAAAGCCTTACGAAAGTTAATGCTTAGAGGAGGTGGAAACGGCACCCAACAGAGGACGAGATCAGAGTCCTGGGCTACCCAGGCCACAACCACTGCCCTGTTATAGCAGGATATGCTTCAGGAAAAGGCAGAACCCTACCTCCTCTTCCTTCAGCACCAGGCAATCGGCCCCGCACAGCCCTTCTGGGAAAAACAGCTTCGTATCCCGGACAGCAGCGTGGTAGGATCCGGAGCCTGCCAGACAGACACGAGGAGATTCTATCAGGCCAGGACTCACCCATTCTCCAGGCTCACTCTGCTGGATTGATGGCATGCAGCTCGCTGAAGGGATTGCTTTAAAGGGCAGCTGTTCTACACAATCACCGCGAACATTTAAAGCCACTGTGTTTACATTTGCTTCATTGTCTTCTTGGTATTTTGATTTGGCGCTATCATTGCTCAGCTTGTTCTTCATACTAACCAAGGCGCCTTCCGTTCCGTGGCAGGGTGATCAAATGGGGATGGCTGGAGGGAGTCAGTGGTAACAATGCACCATCCAGGCTGGATCACATGGGGCAGGTGTGGTCGGGTGGGAAGGAGCTACGAATGACCTCAGTACCCCGGGGGCTACACCTCACCATGGCATCCTGGAGAGCAGAATTTGGTTCTTTCTTCCCCTTTAAACATCAGCCACCCCAGAGGGAATGGGCATCAAAATCTCACAACAGCAATGCGCTCCTGGGAACACAGCTGAGATAGTCACTCTGGTTATGTCTACACCACAGGCTTTTTGCACAAATACGCAGACACCCGCAGAGCATCCACACCTCAAGCGCATTTTAGCGCAAGTACATTTACAGTAAATCAAAAGAGCAGAGGAGTTTTTGCAGTGTAGGTATTCCTCTTTCCACGAGGAACAGCTCCTCTTTGTGTAAGAGTTCTTGCACAAAAAGGTGTGTATGGACAGGCAACAGGGGTTTCTTGCCCAAAAAGAGCCAATGGCCAAAAGCACAGGTGCTCGGGTGGCTATTCTGTGAATAGCAATCAGAGCTTTCTTTCGAGAGAGCGTCCACACAGTCTGGATGCTATTGCTTTTGCAATGCACTTTTGTAGTGTGGATGCACTCTTGCGCAATATGTTTTTGCAGAAGATCTCTTCCGCAAAAAGCTTCTTGTGCAAGAAGCCGGCAGTGTAGACGTAGCCTCTGGGATTACTTTAGGGGCTGGGCATTTTCATCAATAGGCACGGCTCAGCCACGAGGCAAAATGTGTTGGTTAATCATGCACCACTATCCACACCTCTTGATACCAGGGTTGTGGAGAGTGGGACAATATGGGGGGAAACACGAGGAGGAAGGATGGTCCTGTGATTAAAGCACAAGACGGGGAGGCAGGAGGTATCTGACCCAATCCTGAATGCGACACTAACTGCCTTGTTAAGTGATGGGAAAGTCATTTAACTGCCACGTGCCTCAGTTTCCCCTTCTGCAAAAGAGGGCAGATGAGATTTTGGTACAGCCCAGGAGTGCTGTGAAGCTGTATTCATACTGCTTAGAAAGTCTCAAGTGGAAGGACTAGAGAAAGGAAAGTTATGCCCCTGGACTGGAGTTCAAGCAGGCTGCCAATGTGCCGGGCAGACGGATGCTCCTGGGATGCGAGAGGTCCCTGCCCCAAAGCCTGCTGCTCTCTGGAAAGTGCTCACCCATTGCAGGCTGCGCAGACTCAACATCCGACTAGTCATTTGTGGTGCAAAAGCTCCTGGAGTCTTCTGTCAGAAGAGGCCTAATGCGAAAGTCAGCTGACCCCAGAGCTGTGTATCGAGTGATCGGTGGTGCGGAAGCCATGCTGCCAGCTGCAGAGCCCTGCGGCCTGATTCGCCATTGCCCTGTACCTTGTGAATGGCACTCAAACCTCAGCAGAGCTGGTGTAAAATGCTCCAGGCCCTGCTGCCCCAGTGTAAATGGTCACGCAAGATGCAGGGCCACAGGGCATCAGACACCCTGCACCTTGGTGTGGAAAACAAAGATCCAGAGCAGACGGAAGCAGTCCAGGTGGTCAGCTGCTAGTATTAAAAGCGTGTGGCTGTTTGGTGCAATCAGCCGAATTCTAGCCTTGCCTTGCTTGATTTTTCTTGACCATGCTAGGGACTAATGGTCCCTCTGATTTTTTCCATCAGTGTGCAGAATAAATGTTGTTATCTGCACCAAGGCATGTGCAGATGCGCCCCGCCAATAGAAACACAGGCTGCCGGCTGTGAGTGCTCTGACAATCAGCTGGGTGGAATTTGAATCAACATCCAGGGAACCCTGCTAGGGGCTGCTGCTAGGGGAGGAAACTCACACAATTCGTGTCTGCTCCAGTTCAGTAAGAGGATCTGGCAGGGAGCCAGCAATGTGTCATTGTCTGGGGCAAAACTAAGGACACTTGGTGTTTTTTCATATGGCAAAGAAGTCTGCTTGGGCAAGCCCCTGTCGCTCGCCAATCAGTCCATGCCGAATGCTGCTCTCCCTGCTCTGCCTTCCCGTGCTCGGAGGATGGGCATGGAGAACTGATGAATGCCCCATGTCCCAGGACGGACTGCTGCTTGGCACAGCTGGCTGGAGTGCACCCTGCCCTGCCTTGGCAAACTACACAGTGGCCTGTCAGCGACTGACCACTGGCCACCTGAGTGCGGCTAGCTGGCTCACACCGTTATTTACGTTTTCAGAATAATGTGGCTAATTCGCAATAGCCGTACCACTCTAGTGGCTACTGCTTCAGAACTGGCTGGGAGCCCTTCTGCAGACACTGTCGGCTGCGTGACCTCTCAAGGAATAGACACTCTGGGGCCAACCCCTCAGCTGGTGTAAGTAGCCAAAGTGGGACCCTTCAGATTCACAGGGTCCCACTTCAGCTACAGTGATTGAAATCCATCGACCCTTTTCCACCAGGCGTGGCGAGATCTCATCCACCGAGTTTTCAGCACGTGGAAATCCATCAGCCCTTTAGGAACCTGAGAAGCAGGGTTTCAGGCTGGGCATGCGCCAGGTAAACAGCTCTGATATTTCTTCAAATCTTTCAGGCTGGTAAACCCTACTCCCAATTACTTCCCTGACTGGGATCATCCGAGTGGGAGTGCAAAGGGATTTCTCTTGGCTTATCCCTGAGGACTGGAAAAGAGAACAACTCTTGAAGAGCCAACTGCATTCCTTGAAGCATCCACACGGTCACTGGCTACTTGCTGATGTACGGGAAGATGTGGGTTCTCTCTCTTTGCAAGGGAGCTGCTGTCAGAGTGAGGCCGTTGGTAAATCCTGTGTACGTCAGACTCTGTACTGGCATGGATCCTGTTGAGCGCAGAAAGATCCTTCCTGTGTCCACGCAGGCTGGCTGGCTGGCTGGCAATATGAGCCGTTGAGGCAGAGTGTGGCAAGCCACCCTTACGAATTTTGAAAAGCTCTGCAGGAGACTCGTCATCACGACCTTGAACATGCAGCTCAATCTGCTGAGCGCTCTCAATTCCAGCATGGAGAGTGATGGGGAAGGAGGGGGATTTGGTGCCATGGAGTAGAACTAAATAGCAAATCTAACTAGCCTAAAGGGGGCTAGAGAACCAAACCCATGTGCTTCCTAAAGCTTACTTATTTTATTTGGAAAAATACTAAGTTGTCAACCAGCAGATTCAGATATTTTCCCACCTCCACACTAGGGAGAGAGATGAGAACGTGATCCCTGAGTTGGAAGTCTGGGGATCAAAGGGGATTCTGACTCTCTACTTGGGTGGCTTTGGCCAGAGCCAAGGCAGCAATGGGGCTATTAACCTCTTCACACACCTCCACCTAGAATTCTGCACGGCCCCCTACTCAGCAGTGCAGCAATGGGGCTATTAACCTCTTCACACATCTCCACCTAGAATTCTGCACGGCCCCTACCCAGCAGCCACAGCTCCCCATGGGCTCTGGCTTTGGTGTCGTGGGGAGGTGCCTCCCCAGGTTGCTCTGGCCTGGCAATACATGAAGAAGTAGTTGCAGGCCATCTTTGTTTCCCTTGGCCTATGGGAGTCCCTCAAATATCATTTTCTTAGCTTGGGGACCCACCATAGAATCCATTTTGGACTGAGCTGGTACCGTACTGAGCCCTCCAAAGGCATGGGTCCAGCGTATGGGCCAGCGTAGGGTCCTCCGGCCCCAGTAAGTCCACCAGCTTCTTTACAGCATTCTCTCTCTGCAGGCACAACACAAGGGAGGAGCCAGAGGTGAGGTAGCTGCTATGAGCTTCTAAAATTGCAGGCTCCTGAAAAGAAAAGTGGGGAGAGACTCAGATTGTACTGATGCACATTGAGTATTAGATACACCTGGCAAACTTCCAATGGCTAACCACATCCACAGCGTAATAAACACCATTTATTCCCTGCCCTGCTTTCTGCCAAAGGGCCATGTGCTCCCTGCCAATACCCCCCGCCCCAAAGTTCACCAAGCCCACACGTGTGCACATGTGGCCCACTGGCGAGTGCATGTTACACAGGGCCGGCTCGACACCCGATCCCCAGAGAATAGGGGTGTGTTACTTCCAGCGCCACCTAGGGACTCTTGTCTGTTTAGCTCAAGCTGTAGCAGTTCGTGCTTGGAAGCCGCCGGTTCAATCCAACATGGCCGCTCTCTCACACACGAGCATACCTACGTAGCTCTCGTAGCGTTTTACGATAAATCCTTTGGAAGCACCCAAATGAAAACTGCTTTCCCTGAGGACATTAAAATATTCCACAGGGGCACACGTGGTGCCTGGCTGCACGTCCCCCTGACTTCAGGGCAGGGGCGGCCCAAGGCGAGCTACCGGCAGCTGGCGCCCCAACCGGAACGCGTGATCGGCACCCCTGCCTCCACAGCCGTCAATGGCGTGACGTCGTCATTGGGCGCCCCGTTTAACGCTGTGCCCTAGGCGACAGCCAAGTTGGCCTATACGCACGGGCCGCCCCTGCTTCAGGGAATACGGACAGGGAGAGGCGTTAGCCATCATTCTCAAGCCTTGCAAATAACTGGAGAAAACTCCTTTTCCAACTAATATTGAGCATTCCCCAGGGGGGAAACCAAAACAAACACTAATGATCCAACACGACAGATTATGCCACCTCGGAATGGGATGCTGATGTTGCTAAGAGGTTACCTAAGAGTCTTGATACATCTAAGGACATTTTTTCTCATGAAATTAGGTAAAGCTGACAAACAAGTCACTGGCGTCCAAGCTCATTCCCATGGTATTATTGCCTATGGAAAGTATATGCACAAACTCCACAGGGTTGTGCTGTGATAAAAAAGTGCTGTTGAGTCCCGGTGCAAGAAATGTAACAGCGCAGAATATCTATCCACTTTTCAAATCAAGAATTTCACAACCCAGTGCATTTTGTTTTCAAAAATGTGCTTTTGTTTCATCACGTGAAACCCATTTTTCAGAAATGTTTGATAGAATTCTTTTGATCAAGAATATTACCCAAACCGCTACCTCAATTATCAACATTTGCCTTGACAAATTAAAATGCTGAGAACTGTTGCGAATACATTCGATATAAATGTCAATAAACATTTCCATTAAAATGTCACAAAAGACTTTTTTTTGGTCAACGGAATTTTACCGTTTTTTTCAGATAAAAAACGGAAATTTCTCAATGAAGAAACGTCTGGTTTGAAAACTTCTTATCTGTACTACTGCTATTACTTTACAGTGTGGTTCCATTATGAAAAGAAACCCAGGAGAAATGCTGGGGCAGTGGATCTAGATTTACTGTCCTGCAATGGCTCCCATGCAAACGTGTTTCATTTTGAGGTGCTGTGTCTAACGGCTGACCCTGAAAACTCATGCTGGGACCAGAGAATCAAGCTGGCTTCTTTCCTTCTGGTGGACTGTCACAGGCAGCAAAGTCCTGCAGGCCAGACAATGCCCCCATTTACCCTCATGCAACCTCACTGTCTTCAGTGACATCCTCGTGTAGCACTCATGTCGTTGACTGGGACTTAGAAACAACTGCACCGATGCCCGAGAAAGATCAGTGTTCAGCTGTGTAGGCTCTGCAGGGCTGGCAGGATTCAAAAGCAGCAAAACCTTTTCCTCTGCTCCCCAAGTCAGACTGGAATAGAAACCCACAGCAAACGCAGGCCAACACGGGATCTGTAGCATGCACCATGGGCCAAGGGTTACTGAGACCGAGCGATTGCTCAGCTGCCTGGTAACAGGAGTTGCTCGAGATGGACGAGCCAGGAGAGGATGTGCGCACACCCCTGTATTCCTACTCAGAACTTTAGTCAGCAGTGCCTCCTCATGCTCCGGTACAAGGGGCAGCTCCTTCCCAAGCTCAGAGCCGGGGCACAAAGGGTCAAGTGCCCCCAAACACCATGGGAGGGAGAACCAAGCAGCCAGCAGCTGGTGGGAAGAGCCTGCCTTTTGGGGGGTCTCTTGGGGCCCCGGGCAGACTGGGGAACTAGCAGGGGACTGCTGTCGGCAGCAAAGGTCCCCCCCACCGCACTCACCAGCAGCAGTGGGGGGAAGTGGAGTGACCTGGCCCCAGCCTGCTCCACTTCCTGCCACCAGGGAGCGGGTGGGGGCCAGCTTCAGCCATTTGCCCCTAGCCCCCAGGCTCCAAGTGACACAGCCCAGGGATTAGTGAGTAGCCTGGCGCTGGCAGCAGAGAGCGACCCCCCTCTCACTCACTCGCAGCGGGAAGCAGAGCGGCACAGCTGGGAGCCAGGGGGGTGGAGCAAGCAGGGGCCGGGTCGCTCTGCTTCCTTCACTGCTGCCAGTGACTGTGGCAGGGGGACCCAACAAATGTTCCCTCTAATTTTCCCATCCATGTGTAGAATAAATTTTGTTATGTCCACCAAGACACGTGTGGATGTGCACCACCTGCAGAAACACACACTGGCTGCTGGCTCTGGTAATCAGCTGGCCAGTACCTGGATCTCTTCTGGGTGGCTGCTCACTCTGTAGCTTAGAGAACACTGGACCTGGACCTGAGTGGAACAGGAGCGGGGAGGGGGCCTGGGGAACGAATGGAGATGGCGGGGCAAGGGCAGGAAGAGGTGGAGCCCTTCCCCGAGTTAGGGATGGCATGGAAAGAGTCACATAGTGTGTGGGGGGGAGTCATGTGGCAGGTCCCACTGTGCAAAGGGCTTGGCTGTATTTTTTTCTCCTGTGTTATTAAAGGGTTCCCACCTGACCCTGAGGGATTCCTGTTTTAACAGCTCCACTTCCAGAGCCTTAATTTCCTCACCAGCCCTTCACCTTAACCACCCAGTCTCTGTAAACAAACTACTGACTCTCGCCCTGGGCACCTCTCCCTCTGCGAATGTGCATTTCACTCGAAGGTGTGTGAACCCCCTTCCCCTCCCGCCCACACCTCCTGTCTGGAAACCTGGGCAGGAGGGGAAGGGGGCTGAGCTCTGATTGCAAATGTAATAGGACTCATTATGAATTAGGGCATTTACTTAATAACTTATTCCGTGCCTGGGAGATTTCCTCCTGAACGGAATTATGCTCAGAACTTTCCTTTCAGAGAAACCTGGCCTGTTTCTTTGTGCCATGTGATACAAACAGGCTCTCAGCCTTGCCGCTCTCTTCATAGCTGACACCCTGTGCAGACAGAATTGTTTTGTGGAATTCACCTGTGCCAACCACTGAGAAATCCCGGACTGGAGTGTTTTGCTTTAACAGAAATGGATTCTATCAGCACATGCTGCAGCGGGACCACTTTAAGAGCTAACGCAGTCATAGATCTGTCTGGTTTTTAACAAACCTGTTTAGCTTCAGAACAGAGAAATCCTAAGACAATGTCTGGTTTCAGGCTTATGTGTTTCATCCCTACAAGGCTGAATTTTTCCAGGACTAATTTTCGGAGGATCTTGGCGAGGCTACGAGCCCAGACACCAGGTTTGATCAGCAACACAGTGCACAGAAGTTGGGCTCCTGTAACAGAAAAACAACAGTGAAAGCAAAGCTGCTTAAAGCAGGAGAGCAGGGGTACTCACTCAGTAGTTTTAAAGGCAAACATCAGTTAACTGTTTGTCAGCTAGGACAAGCATTTAAAGAGCAAGGACTTTAAAACAGCAGCTGGCATGCAGTCTACAGGACACTACTGTCAGAACCAAACAATCACAGAATAAAGATGGTATGCTTTAACATTTTAGTTGTAAAATATATTTAGAGCAGGCAAGGCCAGAAGGGCGATTCTATCTGATATCTGAATGTCTGTGAGCAGCTCCAAACATCTTATAGTACAAATCTGTAGATCCAGAATCAATTAAGATATTTCTGTGGGATGCCATTTTTGCATATGCCCCCCCCCCTTTTAAAATAATATAAGATCAAAACAAAGCCGAAGTTAGCACAGAGTTTATAATGCAATCCTTGGGGTAACCATGTAGCCGTGTTAGTCTGGTGTAGCTGAAACAAAATACAGGACTATGTAGCACTTTAAAGACAGTCTTTAAAGTGCTACATAGTCCTGTATTTTGTTTGGGATAACCACTGAGCCCTTAGCATCCTTTATTTAGATTCCGTATGTGTCTGTTTCCCCACTAGGACTATACTGCTTAGATGGGCACTGTCAAATAGCTTAGCTCTGAGATTCTTATGGGTACTTAGGCACACAACTGCCACTGGTTTAGAGGGCAGTTAGATGTCTAAATATCACTGAGGAGCTGAGCCAAAATCACTTTGCGTCTGACCCAAACTCCCGTCTGCAGAGCAGAGAACCAAGCTCAGCATCTTGGTGCACATCCCTGAAAACGACAAAATGAAACTGACCAGGAAGGGGAAGTGAAACTGATCAGACTAGCTCCACTGTCCTCACTGGGCATAATACATAAAGCAAACAAACAGTATAAAAATTCTATCAGTCTCAGTTATTGAAAGCGCCATAATTTTAAGAGTACAATTATGATTTTATCTCAATAATATCCTTTAAAGATTTGCAGGCAAACTGTAATGTTGGAAACAGTGAACTGGGACCCGTCAGCTCCTCGTACCTGGCCATGTCAGCTAGCATGAAGCATGTAATAATAATAAGTATTGCAGGCTGCTAATACTGTTACCGTTATTATCTGCCTGCATATATCAGATGTCACTTTATGTTTTCTATGCACCAAGTTACTGATTATACAGATGTTAATGCAACGAAGCATCAGTAATACTACATATAATTTGGCGCATGGAGTTATTTTCAAATGGCAAGAGACATGTTATTGATTCATGACACAAAGCAATTTGGAGCCAGATAAAAAACAACAACATGCCCCTCTTCTGTGTACATCTCAGTGAGACAAATTAACCCATTTTCTTCTGGGAGCTTTCACATTACAGGGTCTCATATTTTCTGTACAAAATCCTTGAACAGAAAGGTAAATGCCATAGCAACAGCTTGCTCTGCAGAGGCAAACCTCCTGCTACCCTCAGCTACTGGTGGATAGAATGGCAATCTAAATTACATACTGTTACATAAGTAGTCATTGTCCTCAAGATGTTTTATGCACCATCTGCTGTGTTTCCGGGCAAACATTCCTATTCTTTCTGGGATGTGCTTAACTATACGTGCTGCCTATTCATACAAATTCCACACCCAAAGGTGTGTACATGTTTTTACCTTCAGGTGAGCCTGCAAAACTGATACCCTCAGCTTCCCCTAAGAACCACACCGGGGGTGTCTACACTGCATCTGGAGCTCGAAAGAAGCTGTGCAATTCGAGCTATGCAAATTGTGTAGCTTATCTTGAGTTAATTTCGAAATAAGCCGCTACTCCGAAACTCCTCGTGGAAGGAGGTTTACAGGGACGCCGCAATAGCGAGCCCGTGAGAGTTCGAAATAACAGGCACACTCAAACGATGCGGAACAGCTATTTCAGGATACCTCCTGTGTCTAAGGCGGTTTTCCTTTCCAGGAGGTTGAAGCCAACCTGTGGCACTCACTCGTGTACACTGCTAAACTGGAGAGGCTTCCTTCCTTGGGTGTATAAATCAATGCGGTCTCAAGAGCAGCACGTGTCAGGTTCCTGGGATGTTTAGACAAGGGAGTGTATGTCACTGTCTGTGTTCAAGCCCAGGGAAGCATCTCATGCAGTTCAGGCGCCGTCCTATTGGCGTCTAAGCAAGCTGGCTCCACAGAGGCCCTTTCCCCATGGATATCTGCAGCCTAGCACTGCACGTGAGCCAGTGAGCTGGAGAGAGAGCCTGCCCTCACCTGCTTGCATGTAGGCGAACAGCGACTCTGCGTGGCCTCTCCGAGTCTCTGCCCCTGGAGAAGAACAGCAAAGGGACTTGGTAGGTGAGCGCTGCTGTGGGCCGCAGGTGAGGAGCGTGGCCCTCTCTGCTGCACTGCAGCATGTGGCAGTTACAATGGTGGGCGCCCTTCACGGCGCAGGTTTTGTTTTCAGCTAGCCCATCCCCACACACGGGGCTGGGACTCAGAAGTGCTGAGCACCCACAAATCCTATCCAGGTCTAACATGGGCCTGCTGAATGGGGAGTATTCCCAGGGACAACTGCCAGCCACCGGAGGGGCCAGGGCAAAAGGCCGTCAGGCCCCATGAGGAGACCCTGCGGGCGAATGTTTTCTCCCACTTGACGGGGCACCGCTGCTGGGCGATAACGGGGCAGCTACAGGAAGCTCAAGGCCCACTTGAGTTACATGTGAACCAGGAGCGGAGGAAGCTTCCTACAAGCGAGGGGCCATCAACACCCCAACACCTGCATGGCTCCTTCCTGAGCCCTCACCCTCGCACTGCCCCTCCCCTTAGACCCTGCCCCTCCCCTTGCTGCTCGCCCTTACAGCCAGTGAAATATGACAGGGCTTGGCTCTGTGACCCCCGTCCAGTCCAGAGCCCCTGATGTGAGCTGGGGAGTTCCCTGGGGCCCTGCTTTCCAGTGCCCAAAGAAAAGCGCCGGATGGATTACTCTGATGTCCTGCCCAGGGCTCCGGTAACGTACAAACCAGGCCGGCCAGGCGGCCAGACTGAGTCACCACGCAGCCTGGCAATGGCATGAAAAATGCCACTTGGGGTCCCGAGGGCTGGAACCCCATGAAGAGCCAAGCAGCTCCAGCGCTGTGCCCACCCCCAAATGCATGTCACACGCATATGGGGCACCGCCCAGTGACGGGACGCTTCTGAGCCTCTCAGCCATCTAGGACACAGCGGGCCCGCCAGCTGAAGCGGACTGTGCTCCGGGCACAACGTCCGTCGGAGCGACTCCCAAACATCCAGGCGTCTTAACGCTCGCGTTTATAAAACTGACACCCCCCAAGGGACAGGCAAGGCAATACGGAGCCTTCCACCTCCAGGCTAGTGGTTGATGGCCAGTCTCGATGCGCAAGGGCCGGGCAGTGGCAGGGAAAGGGGCTTTGATGGAATCAATTCACGGCTCTCAGTGGAGCTGTCCGTCGGAGCGACTCCCAAACATCCAGGCGTCTTAACGCTCGCGTTTATAAAACTGACACCCCCCAAGGGACAGGCAAGGCAATACGGAGCCTTCCACCTCCAGGCTAGTGGTTGATGGCCAGTCTCGATGCGCAAGGGCCGGGCAGTGGCAGGGAAAGGGGCTTTGATGGAATCAATTCACGGCTCTCAGTGGAGCTACAGTAGAGAGGTTACAAACCAACCGGTTGCCCCTCTCTCGGCATT